TCATTAAGATATCAGAAGTTTCCCTTTGAATATTCCTTAAATTTTATAAATATCTTTGAGTATTTCGAAAGTCCCATTAAAATAGTAACAATATTCTAAAATTTCAATTTACACAAAAGATTTAATAATTATTTTAATAATGCTTTCAAAATAATACTTTTGAGATTTTAATTCATAGAGAGAGCATCAAACTTTTGTTATCATTTTAATTAACTTTCAAAATACTCAAAGATATTTATAAAATTTAAGAAATATTCAAAGAAAAACTTCCAATATTTTAATGATAATTCAAAGTATTAATAATACTTTATAACTATTAGACTGAATATGAATAAATACTAAAAGTACTAATAATAGAATCATTTAAAGATTAGTAATAATTATATTTTTTTAAATACAATAATCTAAATTGCTAAAAAGAGTTCTCAAAATTTCAGAATCAAAATTATAAAAACTATAATATTTATATTATTAGCAATACGAGATCAAAGATAAATAATATATTATTAGCAATACAATATTAAAGATGAGTTTATGAGTAATATATTATCAATAATATAATCTCAAAGACAAATTTGTGAATTATAATAATAATTTCTTTATTTAATATAATTATTCAATAGGTTTTGTTACAAACATGTTTAAATAATCTAGTATTAAGATGATAACTTTTATAGCACTTTTGGTAATCTTGCTTAAGCTACTATAATATTAATTCAAAATCTATATAATACTTATAATAATAGTGCTGAAGTGATTATACAAGAAACAAGAATACTTTGTTAAAGAGGTATAGAGAAGAGTTTGCACTTGATTACTTACTCTATATAAAGTGCAAACTTTGCTTATTTGAATGATCAAAACTATATAATAACTAGTTATAAGATGATAATTAAGAATATTACTATCAAAAAACTTGTTTTAATTTAATTCTAATAGCTATGATATATATTGCTTTTATACAAATTCAAACTATAATTCATTAGCTATACAAATTCATATTCATTAGTTTATTTCAATTCTATTAGTTCTATACAATCAAACATCTTTATAGTCACTACTCTTGAAAAAACAAAATTTGGTGACTATAAAGAGAATGTGATTATAAAGAGATTTTTTTACTATATTTATATATAAATAGAAAAGCAAAATAGGATGACTATAAAGGGATGTAACTATAAATAGGTGTGACTATAGAGAGATTTAACTGTATTTACTTATTTATTCACTTGTTCACTTGTTTATTTACTTGTTTGTTTATTTGCTTGCTTATTCATTTGCTCATCTCATGTAATTAGATTATTCCAATAAGATATAAGATAATTATAATCTAATAATATTAAGTATAAATAATTCAATAAATTATTTGATCAAAGTTTGTTATACAACAATATTACAAATAAAATTAGTAAAACATTAATATTATATTAAATAAATTAAATAAACTAATAATCAAAGATAAATTAATAATCAAATTTAAATAGATTAATAATTAAAAATCAAGAATTAAAAATCAATAAAATATAATAATTAATAAAAATTGTATAATAATAAATAAAGTGATTAGTGATTTATAATATCACTAGATGTAAATAAAAGATAATTAAAAATAAATAGATAAATAAATAAATAAATATTTATAAATAGAAATTGATTAAATATTACTTAAAGTTTAATAATATTTTATATTAGATGATCAAGAAAAATAGTGAATAGTGATAATATCAATAATTATCAATTATTATTGAATTCTTTATCTGGAATTTTGAATGCATTTTGTATATTAAAAAAAAGAATTCATTTTTTTATCCAGAGTGAGATAAGAAGTATTCATTGGAAATAGTCAAAACAATAATAATGATAATAGTAAAGATAATAGAGTTAATAATAAAATTAATGATGAAGTTGAAAAAGGATATGATAATAAAAATAATGATAAATATGATAATAAAGATAATGATAAATGTGATGATAAATATGATAGTGAATATGATAGTGATTAATAATTCTTATTAGTATTATATTAAAGAAAAAAATATAATTTTAATAAAATTTTATAAAATTATTTCTCTTTCAAACTCAATATAATAACTTCTAACAAATTTACTAATTTAAATTTGACAAAGAAAAATTCAAGATTGCTAATAATATTTATATTTGCTTTTTGTATCTTGTAATAGAACATAATAGTAATTACAATATATACAAATATATGATAATAATTATAAATATGTACAAAATGATATGATCAATTACCAAAATATATGTAACCCTTCACATGTAACAAGTCATATATATATATAGATGATGCAACTTGTAACTAGGTACTACTCCACTTTAATAGTATTTCATTTTTAAATATTAGTAATAGATTATAATCACAAATAAATATTATCTTCTAATAATAAAATAGCATATATTATAATTGGATAATAAATTTAGATTATAACATTAGAGATAGATTATAATTATTCATATAATATTGACTTTTAATAATAGAATAATATATATTATAATTAAAATAATAAATTTAAATTATTACAAATTGATAATTATTAATTAAATTATATAAATAGTACCAAAACTCTAACAAATAATATTATAATAATTTATATATAAAATAAATTATTTAAAATTGAGCCATTTTAAGATATAATAATTTGATTACTATCTAATATCTCTTTACTAAATAATATAAATGATAATATTTTTAAATAATTCTAATTGATTATAATTAAAAAATTGAGTTTTTAAAATTGAACTAAATACTTACAATAATAATAATTAAATTTAAGAGACAAAAATTCAGTTATTAACTAATTAAAATAAAATAAATGTCATATAATTTTATAAATTAAACTAATAAATGATAACAATTTCAAATGATAGAAACAATATAAAAATTAATTAAGAAAAAAATATTTAGCAAAATATAGAAATAATTTTTTGGTTAATTTCTATTATAAAAATAAAATAATATAGGAGCTTAGTAAAAGAATAATAAAATAAATTCAATTAGTTTGCAATATATTATTTTATATAAATACATATTATATCAATCAAATAAATATAATATATCAACAAACTAATAATTAATATCAATTAAGATTATATTATCCAAAATAAAACTGATTTTTAATAATATTCAATTGGAAACAAATTTTTAATAATACCTATTGACAATTAATTATCAATATTCTCACCAATCAATATTTAACATAATTATATTCAAATACTAATTATACACATTGACAATAGATTACAAATCACTTCAATTGGTAATTAATTATCAACTAATTAATATTGATTATAATTACAAATAATTGCAAACTATTCTTGTTGATAATCAATTATCAACCATGTTTATTAACAATCAAACATCAACAGCTCACTAATTAGCAATTATAATTGCAATCAATTATAATTAATTTTCACTGATAATTGATTAACTATCTTATATATTGGCAATCAATTTTCAACACTCTCACCAATTGATATCAATTGTGATTGCAATTGATTGCAAATGAAACTTATTGATAATTAATTGCTGACAATTTCTATTGGCAGTCAATCATCAATACATCATCATTTTCTATCACTAGCAATCAATTGCTAATAATATTTTTGATTGCAATCAATTGTTAACAATTATAATTAATTATAATTACTGACAATCAATTGTAATCCCTATTAATAGTAAACAATAAGAGTGTTGATAATTGATTGTTAATGGGCATGATTATAAATCAATTGTCAACAGGTATAAAAATTTTCTAATGACAGCTGCTACTTGGTTCAATCAAAGGGTTATTAACAATGTTCTCTACCAAATTTAAATTTTCAATATTTTATTAGTCATTTTTAATTATCAATACATGCTGTAATTCTTCTAAGTATTAATTAATATAAACTTGAAGTGTACTTAAATATATATTCTTCTTTTGATCACTTCACTTTGCAAAATAAGCACAAAAATTTACTAATAAAAATAATTATGAAAAAAATGTAACTGAAACTGAAAGCTATTGACTAATAAAAATATGTGTGTGCTTTTGAAAATATAAAAAAAGATTTCAAATACTTATTTGAGAAGAGTGTATCATTAGTATAGTACTATATAATTCTTAATCATCTATATTGTCAATTCTGTGACTTTTGATCATTGACTTGTGGATGCATTTATTTTCTAAATCTTCACCAACTGTTTCAATCACATAATCAAATATCATATAGTATAATTTAAGAAATTGTGAGTCTAAATAAGTGCATTTGTAGCAACAAAGGAGTTTTCTAATAATAACCGTTTAATCATGTGGATCGTGTTCCTACTTTTTATCCAAGAAATTTATGGAAATGATTTTAACTGAAAAACATGGCGCGCTCCAATTTCTTGTAAAAGTCATCTAATTATTAGAATTACCGAGATCTAACTTGAGCTTGGACATAATTTTTTGATAATCTAAATTCATGCAATTATTTTCCTGCAAATCTTCTTGCAATGCCGGTTTACAATCATTGTACTCATTTGCTAATTTTTTGTGCAACTTTTCAAAGAACCAGCACATTAAACTATTGAATTGAGTGTCGGCATGGGTGGCAAAAATCCAATCATCAAAATGTTTGCTCTTTGCATCGCTCCATTTCATCCCATTCTGATTATCTCCAAAATAGACCATAGTATCATCAAGGGTTTTATGACATGGCATTGCTAATAAATGTTCTGTGTTTTTGTCTTTCGTTCCTCTTAAACCACTCGGCTGGTGACATGTATGATGTCTTCTTGTATCGTCCATATTCTCATTATGTGCACGTCCTCCCCAGCATAGAGCTCCACACCAATAACAGTGTGTCGTGCATCCGAGTCTTTTCATTACATCATCATCATCAGATAGCTTTTGAAATAATACAGGGCTAAATTGAACAGTATTCCTTTGAGCTTCTAAGCTCCTCATCATGGTGTCACGTAACATATCTAAGTCCGATTCAGTCATTTCACTTGTATCTTGTCCCATTTCATATTCAACCCCTCCAACTTGAGCCAAATAATGTTTAACAAAGTTTTTAATTTCCTCGATATTTTGATATTTACGAACACTGGTAATGACGTGCTCAGATTCGGTTTCAAAAATTTCTTCATATTTTCCTTGTGCTTGATTGGGATATTCATCAATAATCTGTTTGAACCACTTGTCTATTTGGTGATTAGGACGCTTGAAGTGAGCGATTGCATTAGCAGTTTCTCCATTTTGAACTTCCTCGGCCAATTTCTCAAAGTACTTGAGTCGTACTTGTTCACTGTTTGTTGTCCAACTCAAATTAAGCACTGCATATTTTTTTTCATAATTTCCTGCGTTAACTGCTTTCAGTTTGATTGCCTGAAGTAGACAATTAGCAATAATTGTTCCTTCGGAAGCAAATGAGAAACCATATAAAAGTCGATGATTAATCAATGTTTTGTATTCATGCTGCCTTTGTTCAAGTATAACAATTGGGTTGTTTTTCTCATCCCATTTCTTTTGGGCTTTCTCCATTTCTTCGTGAAACTTTCCCAGAGCAAACAAATGAGCGTCCCATATGGAGAAAGGTAAATCTTTAACATTCCGTTTGAATTTATTCGTTATTGTTTCATTTATTTTGTTTTTCAGTTCACGTACCATTCCGGTCTCAAAATGATCTCTATTTTTTTCTCTCAGCATAACTCGCCCAAGCACCGAGAGTGTTTCCTCAAGCATCGAGATTTCTCTTTCGTACTTCTTGCCTGAAGAAAAATAATATTTAATAATGTCTTTTTTGTTTTCGACATTTAACGTTTGTGGTATTTTATTATCTTGAAATCGACGACAAAAATCAGCTACATTTTCATACTCTATTTCCAGTTCTTTACTGATTTTTCTTTTAACTGGTAAAACGTTCTCTTTAGAGCGTGCAAGTTCTTGAAGAGACTTCCAAATCTCGTCAGCGATAGTTTTTCTTTGTGTCTCATTAAATTTGCTTGCTGGTTGTTTTTCTAATTCTTCTTTCAGACGACATGTGATTACGTTCATGAACTCTGTTGTACAACCTTTACTCATTAAGATAGCATCAAACATCTGCATGAGTGTTATCTTCGTAGATTCGCGGGTATGTATGACATAATGATTGATTGTGTTCAGCGTATCAGTTTTACTATCTTTACCTTCAACATAGTTTTTCAAAGAATTCCATTCTGATCGTGCTTTTTCACATTCCTGACAATCATGAATTGGACAATTATTAGGAATGTTTAAATTTTCCAAGATGCTCGTTTCGCAAGCATTACGTAGGCCGTCCTGGTTGTTTTTCTCCAGCCAATTTTCTATCTTTAAACGGATATTCATTGAAGATTGCTCTGCATGAACCCTAAATGCCAAATCAATTTTCTCTTTAACTTTTGTAATTCTCTCTCCCCGTTCAATAAATTCATACATTTCCTTTACATTTTTAAATTGGACAGCAAACTGCTCATGCGATACAGATTCCCAATAACTTTGGACTAGCTTATGCCATTGCTTGAACTCGATCTTGTTATGTGAATGCTTACAAGCATCGAGTATATCCTTGTATAGTTTGGTGATATCTTCATGGTATTGTTCAGAAGGAGGCGCATAGGCACTTGCACCATTTTTGAACGGGTGAAATTGTTTGAGAAGTTCGCCTTTTTGTATTCGATCAGACAGATTTTTCAAACATTTTGAATTTGCAATTCCCATTTCAACATCTTTTTTGTCTGCAATCTCTAACGCATTCTGAAGGGCTTTACAAAATTGATCTACACCACCGACTGTTTTCCCCGTATCTCTTTCTGTAAGATGTTGTACCATAAAGATATCTGGAGCCATTTCAGCCTTTTCCAGACGTGCCATTGCTACAATCGCAATTTGCAAGATTTCGGTCAAGTCTCGCATATACTCTCCAAGGACATTAATGAGTGTCAAGTTACTAACACCCATTGCAAAGGTTGCAAGTAGACGATCTTTGCGTTCTGCTTCTGGATCATTGACTTTCTCTGGAGCACCAAGACCCTCTGTATCGATCAGTAAGATCGCATCTACATTAAGTTCGTCATAAAGCTTTTTCTCCAAGAACACTAACCTCATAAAAAGACCTCGAGTGCACCGACCAACTGACACTGCAAACTTGCAAGCGAAAAGAGCATTCAAAAGAGTAGACTTTCCAGATGACTGAAGCCCAAGTATGGAAATTATAAATACCCGCAGCTTAGGGAATCTTTTAGTGACTTTGTTGCAAATCGCTGCCAGCCAAGCACCTGACATATTTCCAGCGTCGCCATCAAGTAATTCGATGGCGTGACCGTTAATAAGCAATTCAGCATAAAGTTCTGGAAAATCCAGAACACTTTGGTTAGTTTGGCTCGGATTTGTAAGGGCGATTTCATATATTTGTCCTAATTCACGGAAGAAATGTTCTAGTCCTAAACTCATGCTATCAACCTTATCTAAAGCTTTTTTTATTTCATCCTTAATGAATCTTTCTTGAGACAGATTTTTCTTTGATAGCCCAGTTTTTCGCCATAATTCCTCTTTCAACAATATAACTTCTTTTCGAGCTTTTGATGATTCTTCTGATGAGATTTGATAAAGGTCTCTGTCCAAATGAGCCATTGCTTTTCCTTTTTTTTCAAGCGGTAAATGCAAAACAATTCCGAAAAGCTTTATTAATTTTTGTAAGTCAGCATTATTCTTCCATAGCTCGAAGCCATCCTGATTTGTCAAACGTTTTTGAAGCTGCATTATTTGTTTAGTGTTAAGACATGTTTTATTTCTCACAAAATCTATTACGCGTTGCGACTCTGCACAATCAATTCCTTCAGCTAATCTCAATGACTTTCCCGTTGTAATCTTTTCTAAGTTGATTTTCGTGGAATCAAATTTAAGGGCCTCTTGAATCATCAAGCGTACTTTTCCTAATGTTTCATCTTTCATTAAATCTCGAGTTTCTATGATAATATTATCTGACTCGGTATCAACGGGATCTACCATGGCGTAGACAAGCTTTTCCGAGCATAGGATCTCGGTAAATTGATCCCATTTTTCTTCTTTACAGTCTGGCATTATGAAGACCAAGAAACACGATGCAAATTGCTGTAGCCACCGAACTTGTTCAGAATATTTTAAGGCATCACCATGTAAATTTGCTAATAATACAATCTCTGTAGTTCCATTTTCATAGTAGGGTTGCATGACAGATTTCCATAGACCAGCACTGCAAGTTTCTTGAATAAACCAAGTTAATTCAACACTTCCAGAAAGTGTGTGCGGTTTGCCTCGTGATGCGCCAGGCTCACCACTAGAAGAAAACATGTGTTCTGTTGCCATTAGCTGATTCAATATAGAACTTTTTCCCGGTGCTTTTTGGTTTTCTCCAAGTCGAACAGCGACAAGTAATCTAAATGGGCTTCTGAAGAGATGGTTTTCAACAATTGTTCCAGGTTTTGATTCCCATTTGATTATGGGGCCGGTAAGAAGGGGGAGCATTAATTTATATTCGTTCTCATGCTCCATATCTGGAATCACAAGAGGAAGTGCCATTGGAAATTTGGCCATTATACGTAAAATATCTTGAGCTACTATGCAATTAGCCGAGGTAAGTAATCCAACAATACAATCAATTCTAGCCAGCGAATTTTTCTTTGATTGAAGTGTATTCGAAGCTAGAGGCGGGCGGTTATTTGATTTTTGGCCAAACGGAGGTGTCGTTCTCACTGATTTTCCAAAAGGACCAGATTTAATATTAATATTTTTTCGTTCTACCATCATTAGAGCTGAGATATTATTTGCTGTAAGCGCGTAGCAACCCCACATTTTTACTTTTTGCATAAGATAAGGAAGAACTTGGTTCACGCAAGTGATTTGCTGAGTTGCATCAATTTTTGGTGTTGGAATAATCACGCATACTTTAACATAGTCTTTTGTTCCAATCATTGAGATTTTCTCACCCATTATTTGGTTCCAGCTTTCATGCACATTTAACACCTTTTTATCGTATTCACTGGAATTCTTATCGCTACTTTCGAAAAGATTGAATTTGGAAGTAATGGAAGTAACAGTTGACATCTTTGAGATTGTCTTACCCATTATTTGGTTCCAGCTTTTATCCGCATTTACCTGTTTGTCGTGTACATTGAAATTCGTATCGTTGCTTTCGAAAACAAGATTGAAATTGGCAGTTTTGGTTGGTTCAGTATCCAAATTCCTTTTCCATTGTACAAGTTTTTGAAGTGCATCGTTAATCGTTTGAGTATCCCAAAGTTCATTCAAATGCTTTTTTTCTTTATTCCAATAAATTAAAGCATCAGCAGACTCAAATGATTTTTCTAATTCTGCATTTTTTGAGAGGGAATTATCAATTAACGATCGGAATTCAACAGGTGCATGTATTTCTTTTCGGTTGACCATAAGCTTAAAAAACTTTATCGCTTCATCAATATTGTTCAATATTTTTGGCATTGTAATATTGTCATGCTCGAAAATTTTGTTCCGGTATTCGTTCAAGTGTTCTTGGATATCCTGCGGTACGTAACTCGGGCACGCTGTAATATTTGACTTTTGCAACAACGAAGCAACTCTTGGTATCGTAATTGGTGATTTACGGATCAAGTAAATAAATCTAGAATTCAACCAGAGTTTCTCGTAATATTCATTTTTAAATTGTTCGCTCGACAATAGATCAAAAAAATTCATAATAGCCTTTTCATCGTCGAAACCGCTTATATTTTTTAATTTTTGATGCAGCTTTTATAATCGAGGATCATAATTCAACTCTCCCAATTGTGAAACAAGTTCAGGTAAGAAACTGATCAATTCAGTAATCTTTTGCTGACAACTTTTGAACGGCTCTTGATTGAAAGGTAACCTTTTAATATATTTTTGAATAATGTTTTTGAAGACATTTGTGGAAAATTCGTAACTGGAAGGTTGATACAATTGTTTCAAAAGAGAAGCCATTTCTAGTACATGAAAAAAGTGTTCTTTAGCAAGGTTAATAGAGAGTTCGTTCAAAAGATTAATCATTTCCGAACATTGTAACTTGAAATCAGACTCTTTCCAATTCTCAATGCTTGTTCTTGTATTAACCGGACACTGCGGATCAATAGAAATGGAGTCGATAGCTTGCATGAAAATTTCTTTAGAATTTTCAGCCGCGATATTAATGTGAACTTGTTCAATTGTTTTCTTGGCGGATTCAACTTTTGCCAAAAATGGGTTTTTTGATTTCAACCATTTTTCGAGTCCAATGCAAAGCGATTCCCAGCTTTCTGTTCTACTTGCTCTTATGCCAAATTTTGATTCAGTTCTACACCATCCATGTTCTGTCAAAAGATCGATTAAGTCATTATGATTCCTGGCAACGATACAAGCAACTGATGAAATTATGTCCAAATCTTTTGTCGAAAGTGCACCGCGTACAATATCTAATGCGTCGGTCAAGCTTTGATCTGGAACTTGGTCAAATAAGGGTATTCCAAGATTTGCGGAATCTAATTTGTGGTCCTTGAATTGATTGACGATTTTAATCACTTCTACGGCAAAGCGAGCTCGATCAGGATAAAATGAATAACAAAGAGAGTCAGGAGACAAGACCGATAAATCGGGATCAGCATTAGCTTCAAAGAGCTGAGTGAGAATTAAAAAATCTAGATTGTCTAAACAGACTGCCTTTACCTCCCCTTGATGAAAAACAAATAATAAGGGAGCTGCATACAAATTCTGAACACCTGAATTGCCAACAACCCATTCACATTCTGGAAAGACGTCGTATACATTGATATTTTTAATAGCATCCAGTGCAGTGTCCAATGCATCCAAAGAGATGAAAAACTTCCACTGAGTATCTTCACAGTGAACGCATCTAATCCGTTCAAGAGTTTCCATATATGAATGGGCAACATAGACGTTATCATCTTTTCGTAATATAGACACTAGATTGATTAAGTCTGATATGTTCTCAGGTTGAAGTGGCAATCGGACCCTGGAAAGTGATGCCTTTAGTGCGTAAAATCTGTTCTCAATAGATGTATTCGTTTCTACGGCAGCGCTTATAATTCCAAGGATTCGAGGGATTTCATTTGAAGAATAGATCTCTTTCCTTTCATAAATTTTGATTACCAATGAAAAATCATCTGAAATGCTTGGTAAAGCAACTCCAATTTCAATTCCAAGCTTTTGGAGAGCATTGCTGATATTGAATAGTCGCCGAAATGCACCATCAGGAGAATTTCCCTTAGTATACAATAGTATTTTGATATTACTTTCTGGATAAATCCATCGGTCAAGCACGTCTAAACTTGGAAAAAACGAAATTTTGGCTTTCATAATGATCGCGTCATTCTCACGTACATCAATGAGCTCGCGCTTCCCCATTGAGACAAAAGTCTCAATATTTGAGTATACATTCATTGCGCTGTACTCGCATTTATCAAAGTCATGCACAATTTGAAGAAGCTGTTCAGAATTACTTTCTGCTAGCTTGTATGTTTGCAACGTCTCGTAGGCTCGTTCAAAATAATGGTTGGATGTTGTTTTCAATTCCTTTTCATACGCTAAAATTTCCTTTGATAGTTTCGATTGAGGATCCGACAAGATAACTTGTAGACGATTTTCGTTTTCTAGAACGTATCTCTTGACATATTCAGGGGTCCGAAAATCTTCAAGCGTCACAAGCATCGTTCGGAAATTACTAATAGTGTTGTCGTTTAGTTGTTTATAAAGTTTTTCAACTTTTATGTCCAGAAACTGGGTGATAGGCACAAGCACAAACCGATGGGGAACACCAGTAATATCTGGATCAAGGAATTTGAAATGCTGTTCCTTCGAAACCTGCGTGTCCACCTTCTCTATCAATTCAAACATTTGGTTTATGGTCGACGGTTGTTGATGCATTTGCGGCTTTGAGTGAAGAGTAATTCGTTTTTCGAAATTGCTAACTTTCATCGCATCTAGAAGCTCGAGACTGGCCTTTAGAGAAGCATTCACATAACCACACGGAATGTTTCCAAAAAAGTTGCCTTCGATAGTCTTGTCTCTAGCTGTATCGATTTGTCTAATTCTTATATCTGCTTTTACTTCGGCTCCTATGATTATACTATGTACGACATGCGTTGCCTTGATCTGGTTATTGAGAAGCTGATTTTTGACAGATTCATCCATTATGTCCTTTGAGCAGGGAAGTAATTCAATGGAATAATTATCTAGATGATACTGGCAAATAAGTTTTTCTTCGTTAGCACTTTTGCCAGAAGAAACATTATATTCGCCAGTCCCTTCTACTTCGATGATGCCAGATAAAAATTCGATAGAAATTGCACCATCAACTTTGATAGTCGAAAGTTTATCTTGAAAACTTTTTATGTGGATCAAGCGGTAATCAAGATTCTTGATTGGATGAAAAATCAAATGATCTTTGGTGAACTTTTTGGCAAATAAATTGAAGCCAGAATATTTGGAATCATGGCAATTCCAAAGATCACCCAAACCTAGAACAACATTTTTGATACAGGGAAGTGTAAAAGTGGTATCCTCGACATAGAGGACTTGTTTTTCCTTCATATTTTCTATTTAAAACAAATTAAAGAAATTCGATTATTTTGAAGAAAATCTGATTCAGGATTTACTTTGAATCGTTATCTTTATATATCTTGACCGTTACTGAGTGAACTTTATTGCTTATCAAATGATATTTTTGGTAAGTCTTTGCTTTCTCGTTATATGCGTTGTGTCTGCCGATTAAAAACAAGTTTTAAATAGAACAGAACAGGATACGGACCCTATTGATAAATAATACCGATACTCCAAATAAAATACATGTACGGGAAAATAGTTAACAGTGTTACCACATGATATCTCACTTTGAATCGTTGTATGTATACATCTATGCTGAACGTGCACTTTATTGATTATCGTTATCGTTATTAAATTTAGGATTACAATTGTTTTGCCGATTAAAAACAAGTTTTTTTTTAGCTAGAACAGAACAGGATACGGGCATATTGATAAATAACACCGATACTCCAAATAAAATACATGTACGAGAAAATAGTCAACAGTGTTGCTACATGATATCTTTGGATCTAGTTCACTAAAGACTCAGTTTGAATCGTTGTATACATGTACATGTATTATGAGATTTGTAGCATTTCGATTTGCTTGACATCTTTACTTTATTGATTATCGTTTCAAATTTTGGGATACTGCATATCGATATTGTTTAAATGACATTTTTTGTAAGACTAAACGTCTCGTTATATGCATTGCGTCTGCCGATTAAAAACCAGTTTTTAGCTAAAACAAGATACGGACCTTATTGATAAATAATACCGATACTCCAAATCTACGGGAAATAGTTAACAGTGTTGCCACATGATATCTCACTTTGAATCGTTGTATGTATACATCTATGCTGAACGTGCACTTTATTGATTATCGTTATCGTTATTAAATTTAGGATTACAATTGTTTTGCCGATTAAAAACAAGTTTTTTTTTTAGCTAGAACAGAACAGGATACCGGCATATTGTTAAATAATACCGATATACATGTACATGTATTATAAGGTTTGTAGCATTTCGATTTGCTTGACATCTTTACTGAACGTGAATTTTATTGATTATCGTATCAAATTTTGGGATACTGCATATCGATATTGTTTAAATGACATTTGTAAGACTAAACGTCTCGTTATATGCATTGCGTCTGCCGATTAAAAACCAGTTTTTAGCTAAAACAAGATACGGACCTTATTGATAAATAATACCGATACTCCAAATCTAAATACATGTACGGGAAAATAGTCTTTGGACAATTTTGGATCTAATTCACTAAAGACTCGTTATATACATGCATTACGAGGTCTGTAGCACATCTTTACTATCGATATTGTTTAAATGACATTTTTTGTAAGACTAAATGTACAATTGTTTTCGCATTATCTGCCGATTTAAAACAAGTTTTTAGCTGGAACAGAACAGGATACGGACCCTGTTGATAAATAATACCAATGAAAAATGAAATACAATCTAACAGTGCAGAATTGTCATTATTGATACCTGACCTTTCTTCACGTCAATTGGACAGATACAGTGGTCGCCATAAGTATCCAGAATTTAGTTTTTTAGGTACAACTCCGCAAAAATTCATTTAAAACATATGAAATTCCATATATATATATATATATATATTATATGGAATTTCATATGTTTTAAATGAATTTTTGCGAAGTTGTACCTAAAAACTAAATTCTGGATAACGTTAACCATGGCGAAAAATTATCGGATCACGTGTATATAGATCAAATCTAACTCATTCTATTGGATGCACCCTGACGATCCTAGTCTGCCAATCAGATTCGCATATTCGGTAAATGATCTATGATACTGTTACTGTAGTACTGTTACACTGGTAACATAGTCTCCTTTTAGAAATGCATTGTTTTTTGTGTACGTTTCTTTATTTGTGTTATTTCGCAAATTACACCGTAAATTACACTGCAAATTACACCGTAAATTACACCGTAGATTACACCGCAAATTACACCGTAGATTACACCGCAAATTACACCACCAATTACTGTTACACTGGTAACACAGTCTCCTTTTAGAAATGCATTGTTTTTTTCGTGTACGTTTCTTTATTTGTATTATTTATGTCAATCAATTCAAATTACACCGCAAATTACACCGCAATTTGCACCGCGAATTACACCGTAATTTACATCGCAAATTACACCGTAAATTACACCACAAATTACACCGTAAATTACACCGCCAATTACACTGTAAATTCCACTGTAAATTCTACCATAAATTCCACTATAATTTACACCATAAATTACATCTTAAATTACATCGTAAA